AATGCCATGTGGACGGGTCAAATTTATCAACTCGCCAGCAGATTCTCTCAGTGGTAAGCTTCGGTTTCACCTGCCTTGTTATTAACAGGGTGAGTGAAAACACGTTTGTCTGGTCATTGTTAAGGGCACAAAAGCCTGCTAAAGAGATCAGAGTAACGACTGTGTCAGTAATAACTCCGGTGCCTCTCTTAAGGTTTACACTTTCGGTATCTAACACGCTTATAAAGTACCTGTTGCTCCTTCCTTTCCACTCTCCTTGTCTTCTGTCTTAGCCCTCTTACATGAAGGATTGTTTGACGGCAATTTATAAGGCTTTCCAAAAAAGGTATGACCAAAAGGATTAAGGAGCTCACTAAAGGAAGGGTCCACACTCCAACAGCATGACGTTTGAATTAAATTCCGCACCTCCAATCTATAAATCACAATTTAAACAACCAATATATTCTGCGCTTGATTTTGGAGAATGAGTTAAATGCCAATGTTCTAATTTTGTTAAACCACTCCTAGACGTCCTACTAACTGTCTGTACAACGGATTACATTGTGACGGCAAGGCATCGACGAGGCATTGTTAAGTCCACTTCGAAAAAGGGTCAACGGACACCGAATACTGCCCAAGATGCGAGCAAAATCGTGCTTCCCGTTTTTCAGTTCGCTCTCGCCTCGAAGCCGTGGCTCCACTTGATGGTGGCCGAAGATGGATGTCTGTGTGTCGGAGGTAGACTCAACTATCAGTTTGCTACAAATCCTCAGTTTACTTCTATCATAAGTGAGGATGCATTAAAAGAAGCAGTAGAGACAATAAAAACCCTTTGTACTCCCAGGCATAATATTAATTGAAACAGCTTGGCATTGAGTTGTTGCAAGTATCATCGAGGTTGTATTATCGGGCAAACAATAAAGTAGCACTAATTTAGCGCATTTTTTAAATCCATTATTCTACTTAGCTACCTCTGGTGTGAGGTTGAGAATTTTCATGCACATTATTAAAGGCTTTAAATTAAAGTGCTCTCCACTTGGAATTAGAAAGCACTTCTGAGTCAAGTGGCCCCATGGGATTCCTCATTCGACCGCATTTGGGTGGTTTCGTGCAGCTTGAATCGGTTCTCTCGAGGGATTCAGTCGAGCAGTTGTCAAGGTTTCGAGTCAGTCCATCTGATGGCAGTGTTTGCATAGATGAAACTGCCAACCACGAGGAGACCTTACTGATGCCATTTGTGAAGGTATTTTACGCAACCGCTTACTTGCACTCTCAATTGCTTAAACTACTTTGACATGCTGAGTGAAAAGAATGCCATGAAAATGCAGGTGTTTCACTTGAAAACGAAAATCTTCCTTCCTGGTGCGTTCGAAAAAATTTAGCTTATTACAACACCTCTGATTGGTCAAAAAACTTGGCTAATCGGTTTACATTGCATAGTCTCAAAATGCAACTCCCATTTTTAGTTCATATGGCAGTTTTGAAGCATTGCTAGGCACAACTATATGGGCTTAATTGAAAGTAGGCGTCATGGAGGACACGCGGCCATTCCTGTGATGGGCAATTTAGCCAAGTGGTGAAATAAACGAGGCATTTATAAGGCTTTGATGCCAGTTGTCCCGATTGCACTGACTGAGGTGGACGTTGTGCCTTAGCCAAGTGGGTTGGTCTTCAAACCATGGCGAAAGCCTCGATCACCTTCCCTTTTGCTTCATTCAACTCGAGCACTGACCCACCCTACCTGTAAAGAAGTTGCTGGACGCTGCAAAATTGTGATGATGACAAGTTTATCTTCTGGAGTAAGAAATGTCGAGAAAGCAATTTACTAAGGCTACAACTGTGGTTTTAGCTGAAGCATAAAAGCTCTATATTTCTGTCTTCAGCGTTGGTATCAAAAGGAAATTTTAAGGATAACGCTTAAGTCACTTGTAAAATGCAATTGATGCTGTTGGGACCAGTTCTACCACCATCTTAACGCTCATTCGTGTGTTCGCTGTTTTTAAAAGGGACCGTCTCTTATCGTGAGTACGAAGAAGTGGTAGAAACTCCTGCTTAAAGGATTGCGTAGCTTACACAAAAGTACAGTTTATTAAAAGACTGTCTAAGCTTTCGGAGATGGAGCTGTCTGTTTTTGGTGGACCCTGACGTTAAACGCGCTCTATGCTTACTTTGGGGGTAACATCCCATTTGGTGGCAAAAGGCATTGGACATGCCTAACTCTTTGTGTTTGAGCCAGAAATGATGGGAGCGAGGCTCTGAGATGGCCTTAGAGTCAGCTCAAA